ATGTAAATGACTGATAGCTCGGTTTCTTCAGAGCCATTTACATTTTAATAGTTTGAAAGTCTTGATTAAAAGAGAGGGGGGTGGAGAGAGGAGGGAGGGGGGGGAGAGAGAGAGAGAGAGAGAGAGAGAGAGAGAGAGAGAGAGAGAGAGAGAGAGAGAGAGAGAGAGATAACCAGTAGAATTCCCAGCAGATGTCAACAGTTGGGAGGGGCAAAATGGAGTAAGATAGCCATTTCCTTTAACAAATTCTTAAGTATTCTTTTAAACAAACTAGGTCTGTTCCTTATTGATACACTCATTTTAATGAAAATGTTTTAAAAGGAGTATTTAACTTCTCAAAAATATGAGTAGTTAAAAACATCTGTACTTCTTGTGTTTACATATTTCTAATGAGATATTGGTATTTTCTGAGCATATCATAGTCCCCTACTTCAATGTCTCTCAAATACCTTTTATAAAAAACTGCGGGTTTTTTTGTTCTTAATTTCTAACCACTTGGGGGGGCCAATATTTGTCTAAATTAAAATAAAAATTGTATGGCAATATCTCAAAATTTAGTGCCTCTTTCTGTACTTGTCATGCCACAGGCTGTTAACAGTGTGCAGATGGCACTGGTCTCTGCATGCGCTTGAGGATCACTGCTCTACCTCCTGTTCTCTTTTTAAAAATAATACCTGGAGGGGCCGGCCAGGTGGCGCACTGGATAGTGCGCCGCTTGGGAAGCGTGGCGGCGCTCCCGCCCGAGGGTTCGGATCCCACATACAGACCGGTTCCCGCTCACTGGCTGAGCGAGGCGTGGGAGCAACACCGAGGGTTGCAATCCCATTGCCGGTCCCCGGTCCGGTACGGGGGCAACACTGAGGGTTGCGATCCGTTGCCGGACACGGAAAAAAGACAAAAGACAAAAAAAAAAATAATAATAATACCTGGATTTGACCTAAAGATCTCTGTCCACCAGTACCACCACAGTTACATGTAAGAGCTTAACTTATACCTTCCTCCCTTCCCTCTTTTTTCACTTCTCCCTTCAAATTTAAAATAGTATAGTCTTTGCATCCATAATAGCAAAAATTTCAAACACTCTCTAGTCCCAGTTTTAAATTGACTTGCAACATGTTTGCACAATTCCCCCATCCCCTCATTCAATTCAACCCAATTAATTTTGCTAACTTTATTTGCTGTGACTTTGGCCTACACACCAGAAGCTTGTGTAAGACACTTGGGTAACACAGAAGTTCAGATATTTGAGGATTAACAGGAGAAATCTATGTAGGAAAACAACGTGGCTGGCAGGACACACGCCTTCTTCATATAAAGATTATAGGAAAGCTTCAGTTGAATGTCCTTTTTTTGGTTATTTAAATACAGATCAAAAGAGTCATTTGATAGATAAAGAATCCTAGCTTTCTGAAGTTTCTTTCATTCACTGGTTGGAAAGGAATGAATTCTTTTTTCTTATACCCATTGCCCAAAACAGAAAATTTCACATGGGCATATATTAAGTGTTCATACATTTCCATTTATAAGGCACAAAACCCACAAATCTCTCAGAGAAAGGAAGAAGACAAAGATGTGAAGACAACAAAGTAACCTAATAATAGAAGAGGTTCATCAAACTGGAGTTAAAACCAACCACTTCCCTTTTTAGTAAATAAGAGAACTTATACTGATTGGAAATTAGCCTCTGGGGAGAGGGCTTCTCAGCCCTTCTTTTGACCCAGCTTCTTCACTGGATTAGTGCAGAAGTCAGTACTCAGAGAGGGCTGCGTGGCCAGAACACCAATCGCAAGCACCACCAAGCCCACTGAGAAGCTGCTGGACAGCCATGTTCTGAACAGCATTTTGGGTACATGGTGCAAGGTTCACACATTCTCACCCAAAGGAGGCATTTGGACCAACCCACAGTGAGCACACATGCTTGGCTCTCCTGGGACTTGTTCATTTTATGGGTTCTGCTCTAAGCTGAGGCAGAAGTGCCTGCCTGAGGACTTTGAACAGGGGTAGGCCCTTCATAGGGTAGCATCTATGGAGGAGGCTGGACCTTGGTTTCCTCTGGAAATAATCATATCTCTTTAGGACCCTTAGAATCAATTCACCCCAGCAAGAGCTTTTTACACATGCTCGTCAAAATTCCCTAGAGCAACCCCCAGATCAGATCTCCTGGCCTATAAAGCAGCCCATAATAGCACTCAAGTAATCTGTAGTCCACAGATATAAAACAAAAGGGTGCCATGACACCAAACAGTATCCATGCTTACTGGCTGGGCCTCTTGGTGGCTCTTGGCACTGTACTTTCTAGTACCATTTATATTAGTATTATATGAGAATTAGCTTCCCAAATGTCCACAGGGATCCAAACATTTCCTGGAAGAAGACTGCTTCATTTCCATAGTCCTTTATATTACCGTGCAAAGTAGGAATGGAGTGAACAGCACTTCAGAGAAAACAGCCAGGCCTTTACAGTGTTACAGTGGACCAGACAGGAGGGAGCAGAAATCAGATGAACTGAATAATTCATTATGTCTAAGGGTTTCACTGAATCATCTCGAAGATTCTAATTTTTCCACCCTAGACAACTAAAATCCAAATTAAATAGGGTCCTTGGGTCAATTTATTTTATTACCAAAGACCAGCATAGTAAGATGGCTATTCCAATAGGGTGAGGACCAGCGACTTTCTTACTTTCTAGTCCAATTTTATTATCCATTCAGCGCTAGAACTTGCCCCTGGAGGCCAGTCAGAATTCTGCTAAAAGTAGGCATGAAGATGGTTCTCCTTAATTCAGTGTCCCATTAATCTTAGCCAAGATTCCTTCACTTCCTGTGCCTTGTAAGACTATGATCCATAAGGACAAGGAATACGCCTTTTATTACCAACAAAGCTCTTGAATCCTTTGCCTTTCAAATGCTGTAGCCACAACATATCCTTGGAAACACGTATTAATTTAAAAGCCAACCTTTAAAAATAAAAAAGTCAACTTCTGTTGTATCAAGTTTTCCCCAAATCAGAATA